GTTTGCGATTTTTAAAAAAAAATCTTTTTTCACCTTATGAAACTGCACATTTACCTACATTCACACATGTCTGCAGCATGCATCTTGTGGATATGTTGGGTCTCAGAGACCTAACACTCCCTCCTGTATAACATTGTTTTCCTTAAAAGTTGTTCTATAAAACTTGCCGTTTTCTTTGCTGAATATCCCCTATGATTGCGTATGTTCTTGTGGCTCTCCTCCATTTTCCCCTCTGATTTGACCTGTTGGATATTCATCTCTCATTCAATCTTCGTTCTTATTCTGTTGGACAAACTTTCAACGAATAATTTGTTTTATTTGCACGTTCTTAAAATATTTTATTTCTGGAGTGCTCCCTGTTATAGCCTTTGGTTGACATCCTTATTAATTTTGACACTAACATAATATCGTCTATGAATAGCATACACAAATTAAGTTTGGCACTAACACAATATTGTCTATGAATAACATACACCATGTGATCTTGTCCTGTATACAATTTGTTAGTTCCATAATTAGATAAAGAGCAAATTCTTACGACAGTTGTGGGATCTCGTCCTGCAGATTCCTAGTGTATCCCACGGCTGTGGGATTTCTCTGTATTTCCTACCATCTATTTCACACTTGTCTGTCAACCTAACGACCCCATTTTTTTTAGTTCAATGCTAGACAATTTCAAACTTCATAATTTTTACACTTTCCTACACCATATCCATTTTTGTATCTACCTTTCCTGCATGCGTTCTTAGTTCATATCTTGCCCTTGAACAATATACTACACACATGGTTGCTGACACTGATGACAGCTGTGCCACATACTTTCTGACCATTATGGCAATAACATCTCTCCAAATGTTGACTACTCTAGATTTGTGTCTTTTATCTTCCATCTTCCATCTTATGTGGTGCCTATCAAATATTCCCACATTTGCTTGTTATAATTCTCTAAAATTCACTTTTGTCTATGCCTTTTAAAGTGATATCCAGATTTGAAATTACTTCTGAAAGAGTTGTTTTTCCTCTTTGCAGCCTTAGGAGCTCAATTTTGGGATTGACAGAGCACGAAGACAAACAGGTACTGCTTTCTGATTTACTAAGCAGGTCTTTTGTTTCCATCAAGTAGTTCTAGAACCACGTTCCTTTCCTTTTAATTTTTCCAGCATAATATCTGCATTGAATTGATACTTGGATCAGTTGAGAACTTGAGATATCGTATTGGTATGAGATTGAACTTTTCCTTAGTTATCTTGCGATTCTGTTTGTGCTTGTTGCTTGAGGTTTTTGTGCATGTATGAGGAAGACTGGTCTCTTTTAAGTCTCAAGTCTCAACTAATTCATAACCATACTTTCCTTCTCAAAAAAAAGTTCATAACCATACTTTCCTTCTAAAAAAAAAGTTCATAACCATACTTCGCCAAAGATCTAATATATCAAAAATGAAGTGAAACGTAAATGAAAAGTAGAGCAAATGTCCACTTGCAAGTAACTAATGGACAAGGCCTATACAAGTACCAAAACAATGGTTACAGAATACAGATGCAAAATTCTGGTGAAGCATTCATAAGCGTGGGCTCACCTTTGTTGCTATGAGGGAAGTTAAATCGATCTCTGATGTCTTAGACTGGTACAAGATTATTTCCTGTTATCTTTGACCTTGTTCCTTTGCATAAATGATTAAGGCTACTGATTATCCAATCTCAAATCAACTACATTTAAAGATGATGGTGAGTAAGAGACCAGCATCTCAATTATCCTTGCAAGATAGGAAGGAAAGATGAAGCTTTGGTTAAACGAAGATAGAACATCCTGTTAAGGGATGTCCTATTTATGCTGATCTTAGCGATTGGGCTAGGAATTAGCATACACTGATAAAGGTTGTGTGCACGATACTCTGTTACTGCCTGATCTTGAATCTCTGTGTATGCCACTGACTCCCTTAATTTTACAAAGCAGATTGTTCTCATGCTTGTTATGTTTTTGCTGTTGATCTATGTTTCGAGTTATATCCATAATGTGATTGTAGGGATATTTTTTCAGTTAATTACTTTGTTTCAAAATTTTCTTATTCAGAGGATTAGGTGACAAATTATATGTGATTTACTGTATGTCAGGTTCATCAAATTGCAAGGAACTTTAGAGATAGGATACTCAGACCTCTCAGGAAAAGAATTTGTATTGATAAAGATGATTGCCGTATCAACACACATTCCGGTTCACAGTACAATAGGTGTTTAGCATCACAAAATCAATGGTGCGATTTGGGTTGTAAAACTTCAGAAGGAGCTGATTATACCTGCCATTCAACAGTTGCATCTGTTCAAGCAGATGGTGGTGTGCTTGATGGCTCCTCTGCTTCATGTTCTGATATTGGGGAAGCGTGTATGGCAAAGAAACGTAAGCGTAAAAGTCGATGGGATCAAGAGGCTGAAGCAAAGTCAGATCCAAGAAATGAGAGTGATGTAGCTGAGGACCAGAAGCAGGTCCTAGATGATGATGTTCCTCCTGGTTATGAATTTCCTCCTGGATTTTCAGTCCCCATTAAGGCTTGTAAGGTTTTATCTGATGATTCTTCAACAGCTATTTACAGTACCGAAGAAGGTAATTGGGGAGAACATCCACAGCCAGTTGTTATGGGGCACTTGCAGCAGCGGTTTGTTTCAAGGTTGCCCGTGTCTTATGGAATTCCATTTTCCGAGGTGCAGCAATTTGGCTCTCATCAAAAGGGAAGATTTGATGCCTGGACTGTTTCCCCTGGAATACCTTTCCATCCCTTTCCTCCTTTACCTCCATATCCCTGTGATAGAAGAGGTTTTGTGCCTACTGCTAGTGAGCTGCCTCAAAATGCTGGAGAAGATTGGGGTGCTTGTTCACCTAGTCACTTGGCTCAAAATCCTCCAAGCGTATCTGGAGCAGACCAGCCTCAGGATGGCAATGGAAACCAACTTGGTTGTGAAAGAGCCAGTGAGTCTCATAACTTGGGAAGGAAAAACTTTAGGAAGCAAAAGTTCAATAATTCCAAGTTAGTACCTCCCTGGCTTCGGATAAGAAGTGGCTGGGAATACACAGGGAATAGCATGTGCATTCCAGGAGCAAGCAGGGAAAATGAGTTTAGGAGTACACATAATAACCACCTTGGGATGCAGAATTTGGGTCATGCTCTACGACCTAATACTTTCCATAGGTATTAGACATACCTTATATCAGCAATTGTACTTTCGCACTTTTTTGTTTTGTAAATTTGATTCTTTCACAATTTTTAGGTTTAGGACCAAAGTTACACTCTAATTTATAGCATGCCTCAAAAGAGGTAAACGACTCAATTCTTTCGGCCATTAATTGAACATTAAAAAACTTGCTGGCCTCAATTATGTGCATGTTGTCCACTTGCTTATGACGTGGTTGTTACTCACTTATGCATTGACATAAATTAATTCTTCAATGGGCATTTGGGTTATGTCAATCTGCATATATCACATGCATGGGGTTTTCACTTTTCACTAAGTCTTTGCCTAATAATGTGCTAATTAGTTGGTACTCATCGAGATCATCCTTACTCCTTCTTAGAAGTTGCTCAACATTCTTCATCAGTATGATTTGCGATGATGGTCACTTGCTAAATTTGGAGATTCTACCATTCGAGCAATTATTAGCATTGTAAGTAACCAAGGCTGAGGCTGAGGTGAAATATGAGTTATGACCAACTCAACTGTATCATATGTGTTATGTCATGTGATAACAATTCTGCAAAACTGGAAGAAAAATGTATCCACGTGTAATCAAAATATCCTTCTCCTACAAATTAAGGCCTGCACCGAAGGTCTAAATTTTAATCATCCAGATTCAGTCCATTAAATTCGTTTGATTTTTAGGTCTGAATCTTAATCATTTAGATTCAGCTCACTAAATTCATTTGTTTCTTTTTCAAAAAGCCTTTGAGTGAATCTGAAAAGATCAGATTTGTAGGATAGTCTCAACAACATTTAATATTTAATACGCTATAAAAAAATCATGTCGACTCTCTCTCACACATTATGCGACTTGCTCTTTCTCTTTTTGTACAATCTTTCTTCCTCTTTTTTTCCAGTCAAACACCAATTTTTTTCTTCTTAAATTAGTGCTTTCATAATCTTTACTAGTATTTTCTTATATTAACAATTTTTTTGGGTTGTATTTATTTTTGTCAAGAACTATTGTTGTAATAATATCTCTGGGTGTTCCATCAAGAAGAACTCAAGATGTGAAAAAATAGTATTCATGATTAGAATTATGAGAATTTAATTTGTAAGGGCCAAAAACATTGAAGATTGTACTACAACATGAGTTTATGATTGGAGTCCAAGTTATACCTATATCTTAATTGTTTATGACAAAAATGATGGAACTCCTAATAATTCTTCATCACAATCTTCATTTTCGGTTGAAAGAAAAGTTTTGAAAGAAATTGATGAAAAGATGAGTAATACTTTGAAGTTATTGATTAAAAAAATAGTGCACCTAGCTTTGATACATGCAAAGAAAAAATTAGATGGTTTTGGATGGGAAGAACCATTATACTGTATAATTGTTTGTATATTTTGTGAAATTGGCATCTACCAAAAAGTATGGGCTATAAAAAAGTATGAATGAGAGGTTTGTTTGCAACAAATGTTTAACATATGGAAAATAAATAAACTACACAAATAAAATTTGAAGAAACATGATTTTATTGATAAATATTGCGGGTACAATTTTGTTGATCCCCTAATTTTACTCTCCTAAGATTTATCCATGATTCGGGGGCCTTAGTGGCGTATTTCAGAACTAGGATGATTCTGTTAATCCATCAATTTGCGGAGTATTCTAGATTTTGAAGAGGAATTTAGTATCCTTTATATAAGGGTAAACTAGGGGTTAGGATTGAGTAGCCTCCAAGAATCATAGTTTAAGTTGAACACAATTTGTAGAGTCCGTTGAATTGAACGCACAAAATTTCAATGGCTACAACAATACAATCCAACTAAGCAATAAAATGATATTGAACTGCATCAAAGACAGTTTATCAAACTCCATAATCACATTAATACAATACAATTACAATTACGATACATCCAAACAAGCTGGACATGAAATAAAAGAGGATTTAATACAACTCTAGTGTTGTATATTTATTGAATGAATGAATGAAGATCTTTCCTTAATAAATTACTCCTAAAAAACAACTTGATTATTTGAAATATTCCGGAGGAATTAACGGTTCATATATTATGAATCACATTTGAAATTGTTGACGGTGCAATTTCCTTATCATCTTCATATTTCGACAGACTCAACCAGTAACGAAATTATCATATTTTTAAATTTTCCTTTGGAGTTTGTGTACTCATCCTTCTCTTTATATAACGTGTTTATCACGCGTGTGAAATTTAGCACTCGTTCAAGGACAAACTTTGGTACTTCTACGTCTGGACAGAAGAATTCTCTGTTTATGTCCATCCATCCATTGGTGACTTCTTTCTGGAATTTAACGTAAGCCTCTTGCTTTGAAACTCCATAATCTTTCATGTAGCATTCAATAAGTGAAGCTCCATGTTCTCTTTGTTGTTCAACCTAACATGGAACAGATTTCAATATTTTCAATATATAAACTTCGAAAAAAAACTTGATATAAATCATATGTACTTACTTCATGTCCAACAATATCGTCCATTGCTCTGGCAATCAATGAGGAAGCTCGAACTATCAAAGGTTCATTTATCATCCATTCAAAAGTCTCTTTGGATATAAATTCCTCCACACCAACCAAGCAAGTTGTTGCTCCCATCATATAGCCAGCACTTACCATCGCATTCTCCATGTGTTCCTCATATTTTGGAATATGATTATCATTGTTTAACCATTGGGCTTCCTTAAAATAGGCTCTCACCAACTTTTTCATCTAAAAACAATATAAGAGGTAATTTTAGCTAGATAAAGATGAATTATAATATCTTTTTTTTTTCCTTTGGAATGAAAACATCTCCTCGTTGTCTTTTGGAAACAATCTTTGTATCTCTATAAGGTTTGTGTAAACTCTACAATCCTCAGATCCCGCTGAGATGTCACTATGTATGTTGTTGTTAATGTTTCCTTGTTGCCAAAGTTTTCATTTCTTAATTTTTTTTATTGAATATAAGGGGAAGGGAAAATAGAATGAGGAGGAGATTATAAAGTTGGGGATTGAATTCTCATTCAAACAATCAACCAATTGAACTAATATTACCTCATATTTTGCATAGTATACACGATCTGATTTAAATTCTTTGGCCAACGCTTGTTCCATTTCACTGTATATGTCTAGAAGAGCTTGATAAGCATGTCTCAGATATGGCGGTACTGAATCGATTGCATTAATATCCCATCTAATAAATATCAAGATTTAAATCATATTCATCAGCGAAAATGATTAATTACTTATGAAAGTGATGTTTTACCTCTGGATTGCATTGTTGAAAGGTTCTAGTTCGTCAAAGGTTGCATAAGCATCAAAAGTGTCATCAAAGAAGGAGGCCATTTGGATTACTTTTGTCATCATTTTTCTCGCACGACTATACTTTGGCTCAAAATACACTCCTAATATCCAGAAGTAACACTCAACCAACCTGTCTCTTGCATATGGATATTTATTTGCAAAATCCAAATCTTTCCACCACCTACATACATACATCACAAGAGCAACGATTTTAATTTAATTCATGTAATTAAAGTAGATCAAATAATATTGTACGTATGTACGTACCTTGTAAGGTCACTAAGCTCTCTTTGGTGCAACTTTTGCAGCATGTTGAAATCCAATTTAGCAAATTTCAAAAGCAAATGGTTGTGTGCATCATTGTTTTCGTAAATGGATATGTATTTCCTTGCTCCCACCCTTGGTAAAGTCATGCGAATAGGCTGACTAAAGGCTTCAGTTACTTCAGCCTTAAGAGAGTTATTATTGCTCAAGTTGGAGACAG